AACATTAAATCTTTTTGGTTGGTATAGCTGGTCTAAATTGTATTGCTTCTATGCAGGTTTCTCCACTAACTAAGAGTAACTCGGACGATTTAGGCGATTGCAGCTCACCTGGAAAGCCAATAGCCCAAAGGTAAGACTTTAGATGCCTGCACATTATAACCCTCCAACATATAGTATTTTCTTGTGCCACTGTGTGCTTGTATCTTTTAAAGTAATCCTGGATTGAGTTTGGTTTGACATACTTAACCAATTAGTAAATCAATCTTTAACGTTTATTATAAATTAACATTATAGTTTAATTTCTCAGATTCAACCTTTACCAACACTTTAGAAATCCTAAAATGTACTTACGAGAAAGTTTCGTTAAATCTCGAAACTTATCGATTAAGCATTTATTCATTAACGCACCTACGGTTCCTTATCATAAGAACATCTAAGCCTAGAAATGGGTTGTTACAACATAGCTCTCATTTATTGAAACGATGTTCTGAAAAAGTTAACCCCCTAGATTCAGATACCTAATGCAATCCTCATCATTTGTTAAGCCTTGCTAACATTAATGTAATGGTATGCCTCCTTTCATGATGACAGATGTGGGGAGTTTAGTTTATATATGAGAATATTGGGCAAACAAGAAGCATAAGTAGGGTGGGGTCTTTAGATCGTTGGATGGATGTGTATCAAGGCTGTGGAAGACCACAAGAGAGTGAATATGTTTAATTTTCTTTTTGGAACAGGAGTATCAAGCATCATTTTGGCCTGTATTTTTATATTTCCTCTATGTAGATGTCTCCTTTGTTTGTAACATGTCGAATCTGACAAACTTTCTAACTTATCATTTATTTAGCATCGTCATTGTTAAAAATTATTGGTCGGTATTGAATTAAATCCATAAGATTCATTTTGTCATCATTGAAGGGTATTTCAAACATTGGCTAATAGTAAAGCATTCTTATTAGACTATTTATTAAACACTTACTTGGTAAGTGTTTAACGCATAAATTTCCTGGACGAACATGAGAAGGGTGAAGAATCTTACCGGATAAGAGCGATGAGAATAATGRAGAGTCTTACCCGGTAAGTGASGATRGTGACTCTTACCCAGATAAGCGCTTACCCAGTAAATTGTTGGATTYRATATGTTTTGATGTACTAAAATTTTACGCGTCCAAATAAATTATAGGGTTAACTCCTATTGGTAAGCGCTTACCGGGTAAGCATTTGGGTAGACGTCCATTACTTCTCAAATCAATTGTTGCAATTTTCATAAGCCAAAAAACTATTTCCTCCATCTCGTCAAAAACTTGTAGTACCAATCAATAACAACGAAATAAATGAATCTTATGGACCCAAATCAATACTGAAGTTTATTTGTTATAATGATGACAAACAAATACATTATTGCAACAAGAAACCTTTTCAAAAAAGAAAGTGTTATGATTCTCAAAGACAGTTAGGAAAGGGAAGTGTTAAATTGTTCATGGAAGTATGTCTTTGGAAGAAGTGTTATGTGCCTACTACACAATGAATGCATATGTTATAAAGCACATGATAAAACTATTTCATGCATAGAGAATAAGTACCTTTTGAAAAGTGGAGTGGCTCCAATGTTCCACATGGAATGTTGAAGTTTAAATAAGGTATAATTGTTCTCCTACCATGCATAGCATTGCTGTAACAAAACTTAAATCTCATCAACTTGCTTGCAATCCTGCCTATAAGTTTTCACCATTTTAATTAAAGAAAAAAAAAAAGATTCCATATTTGACCTTGGCAAGTAAGATGAGTGATTGAAGGGGGCAATTATTTTAATTACTTGCCTTCTGCTTGTTTGGTTTACTTGTTAAGTGCATCATTCTCTTGTGTTTTTTTGTTGCTCTATTTGTATAGGTTAGCTTTTGTTGAATACTATATAATCTTAGTTATTTTAATTAACTTTTTGCTTGGAACAATTGCAAAAAGTATAATAACAGCAACCATTTTTTATAATGTTACTTCACAAAATAAAAACACTTTGTTATATAATTAAATAATTACTTATGAATAAACAAACAAATCACAACCAGAAGATGTTATTTCATTTGTACATCAATTTTGCTATTGAGATGTGAAAATTTGTTGTATATGGAATTAAGAAATATATTCCATTTTGTTAAGGAGGTCTCTCTTTGTTGATCATGAGTTGTATTAAGTGAAAATCATTATTAAACAATCTAAGAATAACAATTGATGTGTGTTTGGAAATCCGTTAATCGTGCAATTCTCTTTTCAAATCTTCGGTCAATCAACCGTAATAAAATTTGAAGTTTATACTGATCATAAACGTCATACCTTCGATTTACAAAAAAAAACATTGACATCCCGCTGCATTGCGCATGTATCCAACTAGTTCTTTAATGATATGTATCCACATGATTAAACTGGCCATGTCCTTTTCTTTTGAGCCCATTATTGTTTTTACAAGGCCGGCCCATAGATTCATCTTACAACCAACACGGTGACCCAATGTTCAAACATATGGCAAAGCCCAATGTCAAATCATATTTTAGAATTTAGACGATTTCTTAGACCGACACCGACCCAGTCTGACCTGCAATGCATTTTCTTAAAACAGAAAATGAGGGTTATGCCAGCTAAATATATTCTTAGAGCATTTTTAACAACTATGCTGTGTTTTCTATTTTCTTTTAGATTTGTATTTTTTTTTCTTTCTCTCCCATATTTTTCTCTATTTTAGAGGAGTGTTTAGAATAATTGTTGCAGCAGACTTTTTAAATTTTCTAAAAATAGCATAGCTGTTGGGGATGTACTTATACATTGATAATGCATGTCTGTCTATTAATTTGACATGATTATGACATCAAAGGTTGTATATAGCACCATCTTTTTTGAATCAAAATTTTGAACTGTACATTATTTATTAAAAGGAAAAATAATGTATTAATGTTCTTAAAAGTCGGTTACGTTTCAATGTTTATGAAGACCCTGTTATACATAGCGAGTGGCTCACCAGAAGGCGCAAGTGCATCCCCTAGTTTTTTTTAAATAATTATTTAGAGTACAACCTATAATTCCAAGTTTAGATAAACTATTTTTTCGATGTACTGTGACTTCCGTAGTATTTTACCTATTTACATCTGACAATAATTTCCTAAATACTGCTAGTTTTAAAGCATTTGTACCCTCCGTTCGACCCGTCAAACCCAACGCTAACAACCCAATTAAACTTAAACCGCTAACAACCCTATAGATGAGTTTATAGAACATTTCTTTAATTTGTTCTATAAAATAGCTAATTCTATATTTAATTTAACAATAATGCTAAAAGAATTGGTTGATTTGACAAAAGAATCCTATAAACGTATCGTAATACTTTTAGATAAGACACTTTATAGTTTGGTTCTATAAACTTAAGTCTTATCAATTATTTCATTCGTCAAACTTATCTAACTACCAACCCGTCAACCCAACCCGCCAACTCAACCCGCAAGGATTGCATGAGTTGGGTTGGCATGGGTTGTACTTTTGAGTTTTAAATGAGTTGGTTGAGTTGAGATTTTTCTAAACTGTCATAATTAGGTTGGGTTGTATAAATGTCGTAAACCGCTCAACCTATGTACACCCTAGTTTTATACCAATTTTAGCTAACTTTTAAGAGTAAGTATTTATTCATATTTTTATTGGTGCTCTCTCTCATATAAATTTTTGGCTCCGTTGCTTGTTATACATGTATGACTACAGATCGACTTGATGAGTAGCAAATAAAATAATATATAAATGTTTATATCATATCTATATTATACTATAAAACATTTGACAAAAACTCTTAAAAACCGTTTTTATGCATGAAATACTGTTTATTGATGCATATTACTTAAAATTCAAGATTACAAGTAAATTGTGCGCAAGTACAACTTATTAAAGTTTCATATTTGAATTCGTGTAACTAAATGCAGATAAACATAATCAAATAGAAGATAAACATCTCATTTTAAATATAAAAAGTCTAAAATATAATTTGGATAATGATTGAGTTCTAACAAAATACTTAATTATTTTATTTGTAAAAAAATATTTTTCTAAACCAAAAAAATGAAATAAAGAAATACATAAAAAAAGAAAAAAAAAAGAAATACTCAATATTTTTTTTTCAATTTTTTATGATATATTTTCGTATTTATATTTTATTTAAAAATAAAAATATTATTGTTTTCTTAAAATTACATAAAACCGTATTATAACATCGATCGAGACAAAAATAAAGTAAAACAAAACATTAACATCGAAATGTATCTCGCTGCATTGAGTGAATACCTTTATAGCATTATATTAAAAGTCTTACAAACTAACTATAACAAATTGTTATTAAATGAGAAAATAGCATATGAAATTTACTTAAATAAAATTATTGTTCTAACAGTCATTTTATAGTCGGAATCAAGAATCATTAAATCGGTTAAAAGAATAAAAATATAAAACATTATAATTTGAACGAAAACTTATCCAAGTTAACTACAAGGATGGTGCCTGATTGGTTTGAGGATGAGCTTCAAAGGTCAAAAATGTTTGAAGGTCTCAGGTTCAAATTTAAAGAGAAATAAAAAATCCCCTTGTGACTATGGAGGTTCAACTTGGGTCTGAGGTGGAATAAAAGTCTCGCAAACCAACTATACCAAATAAAACTTGTTCTTATTGTAGTTTCAAAATATATACAGTAACACACAACAAATTAATACGATTGCACCTTTCACGAACCTAAATTTTTTTACCCTTCCACAGAGAAATAATACGATGACGTGCCTCAGGCATAACGTAACGTGAAACACAAGTCTTGAAGCACGACGTGTCATGACGGCTGTTACGACGAGTTATTTCGAACATTGATTTGACCATGTGAAAATAATAAAAAGAAAAAGAAAAAAAAAAGGAAAAGAAAAAGAAATAAATATGATTAATTATTCATTTTTCATCTACGCATTGGCTTGAAGAAAAAGAAAAGCCCCTCTTTTAACCCTAGACAGAGATCGTCGTTAGAGACGAACACTCAACACACTCACGGAGAGGGATAGTTTTCCGGCGAAAAGATTGATTAATCAAGCGCATTAAATATGTTTAGAAACCAGTACGACACCGACGTCACAACATGGTCGCCGGCGGGGAGGTTGTTTCAGGTAGAGTACGCTATGGAGGCAGTCAAGCAAGGATCGGCGGCCATTGGTCTCCGATCCAAGACTCACGTTGTTCTCGCATGTGTCAACAAAGCTAATTCGGAACTTTCATCGCATCAGAGGAAGATCTTCAAGGTCGATGACCACATCGGCGTAGCCATCGCCGGTCTCACTGCTGACGGCCGTGTTTTGTCGCGGTACATGAGATCCGAGTGCATCAATTATGGCTATACCTACGAGTCTCCTCTTCCTGTTGGTCGTTTAGTTGTTCAGCTCGCCGACAAAGCTCAGGTCTCCTTCTTAAGAAAACAATTCTCTTGTGTTTGCCTGTTTGTGCTTAAAGAAATGGGTCTGTTTGGGTTTACTTGGGGAAATTGCCATAAAATTATCTTTGTGGTCCTTCCAGTTGGTCCTCAAATTGATCATGGAAGATAACTTATTATGGGATAGTCTGTCATCTGTTTTATGTAGAATCAAGTCGCTGATAGAAAATATATTCTTCAATTATATTGCTTCCAACACCCCACAATTGGAATCACCTTCTAAAAGTTGGAAGATTAATGATATATACTGCTGTCGTAGTAAACTTTAGCCCAATCGGCCATTTACTTGGCACAAATTTTCAACCATTTCTGGGTGAAGTGGTCTAAATTGGAGAAATGAAGTATAATTTTTTACTCCCTAAGGAAAATGCATTTGAGATGAAGAAAATGGATATTTTGTTTTGATTGCCGGTTGTTTGATACCTTGAAAGATGAAACTGAGAGTGTAATTATGGTTATGATAGCTGTGTATGAACAGTCTTGCTTAGTACTTTAAAAAAACACATGCACCATCTTTTTTAAGGTTATAGTTCTGAAATTCCATATCTACATTGTTTATCTCTGGCATTTCTATTGGCTTTTCTAGTGTTTTTAGGGACTAAACCCTATCCAGACTGTTGTAGAAGAGTGATAATGATCTTAGTTTTAGTGAGACTGCTCACCATTCCTCAAGTATTTGACTGTTTTCCCTTTTGGATTGGCCAGTGGAGTTCAAGTTGATCATAAATTACCATTTCATCAACTAATAATTTTAGAGTAGCATTGTACAGTATTTTCTTCAATTATCCAGCATTATGCAACATGCACATTTACTGATTTACCTTGTATTAGATATACTATTCATGCTATTTTTCTTGTACCTTTTATTTCATATTATGTTTAAGGAGAAGATTATTCTCTTTACCAAACATATGCRGATCCAATCACGATCTTATAATAAGAACAAGAGATCTTTCTCGATCAATCCCCTTGCCCCTCATTCTTCGAGAATCAGAAAGATCCTTTAAAATCCTGCCTGTGTTAGATTCCTTGTATCTTACACATGGTTATGTTAACATATTCCTTGTCCACTCAACTAGTGTTAAGAAATCTGCTGAATCAAGATGTCAAATTTTGTCTGTTTATATGGTTATTGAATACAATATAAAATGTGAAATTACATATTCAGAGTAGTAAAAATATAAGGAGTACAGGTTGATGTTCAGAGTAACAGATACCTTTTATCGGAAGTTCTGAAGAGGGGCTTGAAAGATCATTTAGATAAACCAAGAATAGGAAAAGAAAAATTTGGTAATTGTACTGCTAGACAAGAAACTATTATATTCTTATCCCTTGACTAATTACTGTAGAGCATTAATCTGAAAAGCCTTCTCAAAATTGCTCCATGTTAGTGTGCGTGCTTTTGTTGTTGAGTCAGGTGTGGGGTTCTTTGGAATTAACAAATAGATGCTTCCCTTCTTATTTGAGTCATTTATAATATGTATGGATGCCAGATAAGATTGGGGTAAAAATGATAATGCTGTTGCTCTGAGGTCTTCGTCTTTCGACATTTGATCCCTTGAAGTGATCATCTCTTCCTCCCATAGAAAAAAGTCCATACTTATAAAGGACACCAGCATTATACTATTATACTGGCAGTATTGGTTTGAGATTAGGTCTTTGTTGTCTTTTTTCATTCTAATGGTGCTACCCCAAAAGCATCATAGATTTACGATGAAAGATGAGCAACTCTGAGTTTCTTACCAAGCTGGGTCTAAGTAGTAGATTTGCCAAGACATTTTTTTCCAACTCGTGGTAGTCATTTTACTTGGATTTGAGCAGTGAACATGGAGATCAACCTCCCTATACTCCTCCACTCCATATTAGATTGTGTATTTTAGGAGTTCCTCTGAAGAAATGCACTTGATTTTTTAGTGGTGGCATACTGGCATATGGATGATTTTTTATGCTCCTTAAATTTCTCATTATGTGTCTTGTCATCACCTGCCGTCTGCTTTTATTGTCAATCATGTGTTAATTTCGAGATGGATGAGATTGAACAAGTGGACCTGCAATTTTTGGTGTTGGTAAACCATTTAGAAATTACTACACTTGATTTGCTATCTTGCATGTGAAAAGTATCCCTTGGGAATATGAATTAGCATCATGTTTGAGTTTAACCCTGGGGAATTCATAAACAAGCTTGAAACAGAAACTTGTCATCTCCTTCCCATTCATTTGTATGAATTAGAGTTCCTACTTGGTGGGAGAGCTAGCTTCTCTTTCCAGGGAATAGAGTTTCGTTTCTCCTTCTTCCCTTCCACTGTTTCACCTTTCAGATGTAGAAGTATCTGGCTTGGATTTGTGTTTATGTAATTGCCTCCAGTATTCAAGAGTTCTAAAATTGCTTAAGGTGAAACTACAATACCATCTTCGATGAATGTGGTACTTTTTAATGCTGAGATGTTTCATATTCGATGCAGCCATTTTTATTTTTGGGATAATTTTTAAATGCAAATGACTAACTTGTCAGCATTCTCGTCAAATACAGAACTAGTCTAATATACATGCTTCCTGCACATGCTTTACTCTATTCAATTTTTGAGGTAAAGATTTACACATTATCGGTCCATAATAAGGGCAAGATCAGCCTTCAGTTTGTAGCTTAAGCATTTTTTTAAAATTTTGCATGGAAGATCATCAACTAATCTTGTTTAGTAAGAGGCATTACTATAATATTTAATTTGAGGAGACCTTTTTGCATATATGCAGTACCTGCATACAGTAACCGAAATGGATCATGAAGTTTGGTATCTTTACTTTTGTAGCATATATATATATATATATATATATATATATATATATATCGAATTCTTCTTTCAGCTTTCACAGGCATATCATCTGGCTTAAGTTGTTCTCCCTCTCCCTTGTATATTTAGATATAAAAGTATCATATGATTTGCCTCCAGGGTAGCTGTCCAAGATAATGTTGCACCAGTGTGCCACATGATAATGAATTAATGATCAAGGGTGTGTTTGTGCATGGTACAGGAGAGTACAAAAATTTGTGGTGTTTGGCATGACAATAGACTGAGACAGGACAGGACCATAGCCACAAAAAATGCTTTTTTTTTTCTGTCCCACCAAAATGGGTGGAACGATAAACACGGAGATGAGACAAGATTGGTACATTACTAATCAGATTAGAACCCTAAACCTTTCAAAATTCTTTCACCCACCCATCTACCTACCTCACTCTTGCCCGTCTAGTTCCGTCCAGTCTCGTCCTCGTACCAAACGCACCTGAAGGATTTTCGATGATTCTATTTATTCAACCATATTTTCAGAATTTTTTTAATTTAAATGTGCCTAGTAGACAGCCATACAAATACTTGTGCAAATAGACAAGATCAAAATTTCTTACATCAATGGCTTGTTGACAGGTTTGTACCCAACGGTCATGGAAACGCCCTTACGGTGTTGGTCTGCTGGTAGCCGGCTTGGATGAATCTGGGGCTCATCTCTACTATAACTGTCCTAGCGGAAATTACTTTGAATATCAAGCTTTTGCCATCGGTTCCAGGTCACAAGCCGCAAAAACATATTTGGAGCGCAAGTTTGAGAATTTCACAGGTTCCTCTCGAGATGAGCTGATCAAGGATGCACTATTTGCCATAAGAGAGACCTTGCAAGGTGAAAAACTTACAAGCACTGTATGCACGGTGGCTGTGGTTGGTGTAGGAGAAGCCTTCAATATATTGGACCAAGCAACTGTACAGGCATTAATTAACGAGTTTGAGATTTCCGGAGAAGAAGGTCCTACAAATGAGGGTGTTGCAGAGGAAGCTGTGGGTGAAGCTGGTGGTGCCGCCGCCACTCAGGAGGGTGGAGCCGCACCAGAGCAAGAAACTGCACCGATGGATATTTGAGTGCAGTCAGGTGGTTTACTGTTTGTTTTAGAGCAATATTGGTATGATGTTTGGAATATTTGAATTGCAGTTGTTTCGAGTTTCTTCCATTTGATTGGTGCAAACCTTTCTAAAGCTTTGCCTCTTTTGAACTCTTTATTTTGAACTGATTATATCCAGATGTAGTTGGTTATTAAGTTAATTTAAAGACACGACCATGTGAAGTTACTTATAATTGTGAAGCAAGAGAATTAACAAATGACATTGACAGGTAGGGATGACTTCGGGGTAATGTTTTAGTGCATCTTATAGATTGACCAAAAACCGGTCACGGGTTGGGTTGGGCTGGTCACGGTCCCGTCCCAACCCAACCCGATCCGTTCAAAATAGGCAGGCTGGCTGGCTGGCATGCATATCGTTTTATAATCTAGTTAAGCATTTAGTTTAACAAAATAAAATCAAAATGTGAACATAAAAAAGGTTGACAAATGAAAAAAAAAAGTTGAACATTCATGTTAAAAAGAGAGTAAAGTTACGATTAAAGTTGTAATATAATTTTGAATATAGCCAATTACAGGTTGGTTTAATGTTTAGTATACATGTATTAATCAATGACTTAATAATCATATTAAATCTGTAATATTGAAACGCATCGGGTTTGTTAGGTTGGGTTCAAATTACTCTAACCCAATTCCAATACAATAGTTACGATTTGACCTAATTTTATATCAATTATGTGTTTGATTATCTCAGGTTTGAATTTTCCATTTTATGTTAAATTTTTGTTGTAAAAAAAATGCATATCCTAGTTTAATTAAATATAAATGTTGACGTTGATGTTGAGGTATTGTAACTTGTTTTGAAATTTGAATAATATATATGAAAATTCGAATTTTCTTTAATATGAAAGATGGAGTTCTTAATTTCTTACGATTTTAGGTTAAATCATGAACTAATTCTTTTTTCAAGTAAAAAAAGATGTTAATGACCCACAATCACATACCGACGATGAGAATCATGTGGAAAACATGGTTGATATGAAAGAGGCCATTACAGTTGAACCTGAAAAAATTGATGGGTTTTTTTTTATTAACCTGGATATCCAACATGTTATGCGAGCCGACTAATCCCAGACCGATCACCTGTTTTGTAGATAACCCGGAGTCATCGCATTTGAACCTCCGTGGCTACAAGGGGATTTTTATTCTTCATTGGATTGAAACCTGGGACCTTCAGGTACTTTTGACCTTTGGAGTCAAGCTCAAACCGATTAGGTACCACCCTTGATTCGATTCGATTCGATCCAACAGATTCTCCTAAATCTTCTCCAGAATAGATATAGGTAAATTCTCCAAATTCGACGAATTTTCCTAAAATAATTGTTTATGAAAGAGAAATGATTTTCAGTTCTCTCTGTCAATGAGAATCTTGAAAATTAAATATTGATGTGAGAGAAATGATATCTTATGAATTATATTGAATATTTTAATAATATAATTAATATTATAATCTCTAAACTGGATAAGATGTAGATTTTAACTTTTGATTCTTCATTTTAAAGAATCTGTTAAAGATGCTCTTACCTTGGCGAGTGAATATGCGGAGGACCAAAAATCCTACATGTGAGTAAGAGTCGTAACTTATACCCGGATAATGTTTACTCGGTAAAAGACGTTTACCCATAATCTCACTGTCATTTTGATGCCAAAAATCTTATCCGATAAGCTAAGTGACAATAGTAACTTTTACTAGTTAGCGTTTACCAAACGATACACTATTAAAATGACAAATCATTAAAAAAAATTGATGTTTTATTTCCTATATTAGGGTTTATGTGAATTTGTTACAAGGTTTTAACGTAACGGGCAGTTAAAGCGATTGACTTTCCGAATTACCTTACCGTTTCCCGACTTGCAAGAAGTTCAGAAAACCGATTCTCGTACTAAAATGGACTCGGGTCTCAAGATTAAGGTCGTACCAGCTTCGACATATATGAATAAATAACCCCAAAAACTTCATGTAATCCACATAAATGATATCAAATCCACATCAAGGTCTTCGATGTAAGAATGGTAAAAAGAAACAATACAACAGATTGTAACTGTTAACAACTCTAACCGTAATAAGTTTTTTTCCCCTTATTTCAAAAGAGAGAGACACCAATGATCCAATATGCATTATAACTTGCTTAAAAGAACAGGCATTCGTCAACATCAAACTCCAAAAAACAACTACCTTGTGGCAGATTTATTCGCAAGAAACTGTCTTTCTTGCTATTGTCGACAATTATTGAAGCAGAGTCCGGGCTTCATTGGCCTTCTTTTGTAGTACTTTTAAGAATTCGGTCTTGTCAAACTGCTTTGCATTCTGAGTGGCATGAACTTGGGCGAGGCTGCTGTAATTGGCAGCCGATTCGGAGATGAAGGCTATCTCTTCGTTTGTAAGCTTTCTCAGGAACCTAGCAGGATTACCTCCCCACACCTGTTGTCAAATTCCCATCTAAGCTTCCACTTCATAACTAATTTCAATTACAAAAACCAAACCAAACCAAATAGTATATCCCACCTTTGTGGGGGGGGGGGGGGGGGTATGCATACCTGACCTCTACCCCAAGGAGCAGAGCAGTTGTTTCTTGTGCACGAAAGAAAATGAATAAGAACATTCTTAAACTAATTTCTTAGAAAACAGATTGCAAGTGAATGAAGTGAGCCGAATATGACTCTATAGCCAGAAAAGTATGCATTGCTTATTCCTTACGGGACAATCACCAAAAAAATAGAGTTATTCACTTTTCAAAACATCGTTCTTGCGAGGATAAAAAGTCTTAGACCAAATGTGTCAAGATGTAGCTACTTTTGTATAAACATGTACACAATTTGTCCAAGGTCGATTGTTTTTGGTAAGTAAAAATGTTTTCTAGACTTTGAAAGAACAATGTCACTTTGCAAAAAGAAACAAGTATGATAGCTAGAAAGTCCAATCACTCCAGGAATATATCATAGGACATACAAGCAGCAGGAAAACTACACTACCCTGAAAAAACCAGAATGATGAAAAACCTCGACTACTTGCGATCACCAACCCTTTAGACCTTGGGGTCCAGCAGATTACAGATTGTTAAAATCTTTAAGATGGTAAACTACATTAGCACAAATGCAGCCCAGCTAAGGAAGGCATAATTTCCTAACCATTTTGATATTAGGATCTCACAAACACTGGAATTTTACATCATATCAGCATTCTTCATTTGTCAATCATTATAAAGCATGGATTCAACCTAACATTTATTGGCTAAAGGTTGTAAGGATCATGGAAGATAGTTAGATGGCACACTCGTCAAATCATTATTTCTAAGACATTAATTTGAAGTCTACATCTGATTACAGATATATCCCTCAAACTATTGCTATCTTGTATAGTGGCGACCTTTTTCTCTAAATAGCAAGAACACCATAAACATATAGTCTCTTACGAAGCTCAATGCTATCCTAATACCAAATGCAACAAACTGAAGGACCACCAACGGTGGGGGTAAGACATTGACCCACTGGGAATATAAATTGGTTAGATTAAAATTTGTCAATGATATAGAGAGAGTTAGAAGAGCTTAGAACCTCGCCACTCGGAATTCTAGTGTCCTGTCTTACAAGGGCTCCAGCAGCAACCATGCTATGCTTCTCTACGACTACCCCATCAAGAAGTGTAGCTTTCATACCAACAAATGCTTCATCCTCAACAGTGCATCCATGTAAAACAGCACTATGACCTGCATATTTGAATCTAAGTCACTTCATGAAAAAGAAGAAAGGCAGAGCCTCATCAAGTCATTAAAAAATATTACAAAGCTAGCTTCCAGCACATTGCTCACCAACAGTCACGTTGTCCCCAATCACTATCGGAAGCACCTTTCCAGGTAGATTAGATTTTGCAACATGGACAAGTGAGTGGTCCTGTATATTAGTGCCAGATCCAATACTAATGCTGTTCACATCACCTATGTACAAAAGGGTATCTGATCAGTGAGCATGCCATTTCAATGATGTATCATTGCTGAATAAAGCATATTAGAATGATAAAACATCCACATTTAGAATTACTATCAAGATGGCATACTATTTGGAACATGGCAGGTATATTGAAGTTTAAATATTGTGATCAGATGTCTTTGTAAACCTCAAAGTTGCAACATGCACACTATATTTGTTAGCTTTGACACCCTTTGAAGATATATTAGACATATAATGGTTTGCATGCTGTCTTCATGAATGAGGATTATATATCCATTGTATTAAGTAGTTTGAGGCTTCTTTTTCCCAGTTTTAATCTCATAATCACTCTTTTATGATGTCCAGAGACATCATTTGGTATGATATCCGTGGATATGTGGACGAGATGATATTGCGAATAAACATGTTCTGCGTGACTGTGTTGTATCTAATAAAGCAACACAGGAGATGAACTTATAGACAATTTAATGTGGGATGAGATATAAGCGAAAATATAGAATATTGCATTAACAGAAATATTACAGAGTAACCTCTAATTTCTCTTGGAAAGCGTGTAGAGGTAAATGTAGGAGAATAAAGTAGAGACATGTTCTAGGAGAGTTGTACAACAACAGTTCGGTATTATGATGACGGTGAGACTATGAACAGTGCTAGCATGGTCATGAGACAGAGTACCATCACCATGCCCGCTTGGATCTTCCAGGCATTGCGATCATGTTAAGAACATTATCACAAGATCTGCCCAGATGGGCCATGCATAGACTAAAGGAGATGTCTTGTTAAGGAAACAAGTGGGTATTTGTAATATGGATATTCTCTTGAACAAACAAGGTCGAATTTATGAGTACAGCTACGAGTCCCAAGGTGTTTTGTCCAAATATGAAATATCTACCCGATCTTTATCTTAAAGTGGGAATGCAACCACTTGTACTTCTTCAGATGTTCTTTTGAAGAAGTAGTTAAAAAAGAATACATAAACAAGCCTTTAACTTAAGGTCAAATAGCTGAGTTTATAAAATCAAGCTCCAAAAAAGAAAGTAAAAGAAGAGTGAAAATTGCCACTATAAGCCCAATTTGAGTAACTTGAGGCAAAAGATTTAGGTTAGATGCATTACAAGCAATGATAAGAAAGCTTGTTACAAAGTAGTGAAATACAACAAATAACTTACACCAAATTGTATTGTTTTTCTTTTGAACTATTCTGCCTGTAACAAGCTTGCTCAAGTTGTTTGTACTTAATCTAGCCATTTAGATTAAATTATTTTTATTATTATTGTTAGCTACAAAACGACCAAGCTTAAGACAGTCTTCCGTTGTTTCGAAAATAAAGAAGAAAAAATGATTGCAGATTTGCAGCTAAAGGACTGTATGGGAGTTAATTTACAAAAGCCACCATGATTAAGCATTACCTCTCAAAACACATCCATACCAAATAGACGATCCTGCTCCCACTTGGACATCCCCAATGATAGAAGCACTTGGAGCCACAAATGCATCCTTAGCAACAACAGGGACTTTATCATATACATTCATAAGAGGTCGATGCCTGGACACTGACAAAAAAAATGTTAATATTGGTCCAACGAAAACACAACTGATAATAGTATTGAATGAGTGTTAGGCATGCTGAATCAGGGGATGAAATACAAAAGGTAATAATTAACATAGATTTAAATCCTGGTAACTTCTGTTAAAAAAATTGAAGTTTTAGTCCTAAACAAAAGGGAATCTAATATAATATAAAAATTAACATGATTACCCTTTGGTGAATGATAAATGTGACAAGATTGAAAAGATCTGGCATATACTAAATCTATTGCAAAGACATATCCATAAGGAAAACCTACGTCCAACTATCGACTGTCAAACACTTTGCGATTTCTGAAGGATGCTGTTGTTTCAAGCATTGAGAATTTTCTGTCGGATTTCTATGCATCTCAAACATAAGAACATTACAAAGCATTTCTAGAAGTAGCTAAGCACAAAAATGCAAGCCAAAAAGGATGGACGTCAGCAACATGCATATGTCTGTTTAGAAATATTTACACCCTAGAAAGATGAATTGAAAATATATCATCGACAACGTCTAAATTCAAAAGCCACCTCTGTTTTGTTCCAATCTCCAACAAACAATGGCAGGCTGTGAGTACTTTTAGTGCCACACTCTTGAAAACTAGCATATCTATATTATCAATACACATATTGCACACACATCTGATAAATCAACTGAGAGTGTGCAGGAATTATGTAAGCATCTAGAACGAGAAAAGATAAAGAATATTTTAGCTTTGTTGTTATCTTTCGTATATAAACATGACCACATCTTTAGATTATAATTTGTTTTATTGAATGGGGACATAACTAGTATGTTCTTGTCTAAGAAAAACATGTATCTTCCTTCCCCAATTCTCTATGGGGGATACCAGAATGAACTCAGATCAATTGTATTATATCTCAGTACACGGCTACACGCTGACAGCTTCAACTTGAACATGGTTGGAAATCGAATTTTTATGGTCCTAGACAGCAGAACTAATGAACAATCCCAAACATGTATCTATGCCTGTCTTTCTGTTTTTTTTTTTGCTGAATATGTGTTCAATTAGTAGCTACTTGGAGGTAAACCACAGACAAGATTATCTGATCTTTATGTAAGACGTATGAACAAAAGATGAAATAGTTCCATGTGAGTGACATTTAATCGATTCATGGTACTGTTAAGGCTTTTAGACAACTTTATAATTATAAATCATGCTACATACACATTTAGAGCATATTTTTGTATATAACTATAAAAATAAACCAGTGTACCAAACTGAGTAGTTTACTGCCATGCTATAACTCAAAATAAGTGAATTTCATTTATTCTGCTACAGCCTACATGTGATACATCCTAAAGTTCCACAAGTAGCTAACAAATCGATGCTCTGCCTGCAACACTTTATCGCGAGAATGGTTTTTTTAACAATGCAAATCAATTATGTGTACATTATCCATTACTATGAGAGAAGAAGTGTTAAACTATCACTCATAATTCCATGCCACTTCAAGAAATGTATTGAGACTTCTGATTGGAGAGCAATGGAAAAACAGTCTAAGGAATATCATAACCAGTCCAATGTTTATCATTAGAACTACAAAGCTAATCCAACTGAAAAGACAACTCATACATCATCACTAAGCATCAAGAGTAGGCCCTTGCTTCGCATTCTCTTGGAGACTTAGAGTCATAAGGTAATGCTGATCAAAGACTGCTTGATATAAATTTTTTGGTTAATTGGCTTCAAAATTGCAGTGCAGATATCAAGAATCCATAGTTCATTGATCAATACTCTAAAACACCGATTTAATTTCTCGTACCTCAAAATAATAATAGTAATAAAATTAAAACCAAATCAAATTAGCACCCAATAGAAAGAATGCCACACATTTCATTCTTCGGTATAAGTTCGAAAATCTAACTGATCATGTAAAATAACATAAATCCCACGTAAGAAAACATTCGATCAATCGTTATTCAGCAAATAACCCACCTAAATCTGAACTCTTTGAGGGCCACATTAGAAAATAATGATCTTCTCGATGGAAATCCAAACCCACATTGAAATCCAGTAACCAAATTGAAGAGATGTTCAGGTTTTGAAATATGAAAAATGGAAATTAGGGATTTGATACATACGTTGTTCTTTGAAGAAGTTGTTGCCCTGGAGGCGTGAACCTAGACGATCCATGGCTTGGCCAGTTTCCCGGATCCAAAACCCGACTGTGTATGCTGCTCTTCCTAGGGTTCCCATGGCCGATCAGTGTTTGACTCTGTTCAAGCGTTACCCCTTTTTGACACCTGCGTTTGTATGTGTGTTTCGGCTAAAAATGAAAACAAAAAACCAACGAAAAGGAAAATTACCAAAACATCCCTCGCATTTTGCCTCCGTTCACCATAATGCCCTCCAACTTGTCCACTTCTTTTAAACAATTACCTATCGACATGAGATGAGCATATGATGTTGGACATCTCAGGGTTGTTTGTTTACTTCTTAATAGTTTCATTAAGATGCAATATCTGAATCGTTAAGAGGTGAATATTGTTTGACAGAAAAAAGATTTGCCTCTTAATGGTTCTAAAACCCTCTAAATGATTTTGTATCTTAGGCCTTTCTTAACCATTCAACACCCTAATTTCATTATAAACAATTACCAAACAATTATATTTCATTTTGCACTATATCATGAGAGCCTCTTAATCATTCTGATCACTTAATCATTCTGCACCAAATCATTTAACAATTGCCAAACAGCCCATCAGTCTTTAGACATTGCCGAGTAGTTTTTGGAGAATCGAAAGTAGGATAGTGGACTAGAATGAGAATTTGTATCTAGTCTAGATGAGAGAAAGGGATTTGCAGCAACGGAGAACGAGGGCATGCTTAGTAAGCTGGTAGTTAAGTCTCTAGGTTTTACGTCATATTATTAGACCACCCGAACAGTATGAGGATTGGATATGTGCCAACATGAGATTTAGCAATTAGTTGGACTATACACTACATGTAGTGCAAGATGAGCCTTGTGATCTTGACGATGTGCTAAGTTCACCAAACAACACCAAATGGCTTAATGTAATGCAAGAAAGATGAAGTCTTTGACAAAGAACCATACTTGGGATCTTGTTCCACTGCCCAAGGGAAATCGGGCCATTGGATGCAAGTGGGTGTTCAAGGTTAAGGATGATGAAAAACACAAAGCAAGACGGCCTTCCTACATAGTGATCTAGAATAAACCATCTACATGAAACAACTAGAAGTAGGGGTGCTCATGGGTTGGGTTGATCGTGTTGAAGACATTTGAATAACCCAACTCAACCCAATGCTTGTGATTTGGGAAAATCTTAACCCAAACCAAAGTGCAACCCAACTCGTACGGGTTGGTCGGGTTAGTCGGTTGATACTTTGGTATATTAAAATATTATTCTAATCTTGAATATGTTATTTCTCTACTTATAATTTTTTTTCATCATCAACCATTTGATACAACTTATCTATATTTCTTACGTGTATCACATTCAATTAATTTTCTCAATTTACATGTATACGTTCATAGTTACTGAACATATATATGAATGAGTTATATAGAGATATGAATAGATTGAAAATACGTGTATATAAAAAGCATACATGATAATGTAATTGTCTAATGCATATATTAATAGAAATTCAACAATCATGTTAAATCCAAGAAATAAAATGATATCGGGTTCATCGGGTTGGGTTGGGTTCAAATAATAGTAACCCAATATCAACCCAATACCTACGGTTTGACAATTTTACAACTCGATTAGACATCGGGTTGCTTCGGGTTGAGTTATTTCACGTTGGGTTGGGTTGATCGGGTTGGTCGGGTTAGTTGGGTTTTTGAGCACCCCTAACTAGAAGGCTTTGTGAAATAAGACAAGACCGAGTTGGTGTGCAAGCTGAAGAAGTGCCGATACGGATTGAAATAATCACCACGTCAAATGATATAAAAGGTTTGACTTGTTTATGTTAAGTATTGGTTTCAATCGAAGTGTGAAAGATCCATGTGTCTATTTTTGTTGTCAAACCAACGACAAAAGCAACAAATTAGCCCTAATAGAGTCTTGATTTATAAAAGCAAATTAATAGAATTTGATGATGAAAGATACATGAGATCCATAAAGAAGTTAGGCAAAAGTTGTTACCATAAGAAGTTTGTTTGTAAGAGCACCTCCAATAAATGTTCATATATATTTTTTTGTACTTTTTTATCACATCATTTCCAACTAATCAAATTAACAACCTACGTAAAACTCTACAATGATAGTTCTTATAAGAATCTCCTTTTGTGAGTCCTATATATATATATATATATATATATATATATATTAATAATTATATATAAAAACTAATAAAATGATTAACTTCACACTTTTTTCATATTAAATTTAATTCTTTAATTAATATATTTCAATAACACATTTAGGGGCCGTTTACCAATTTTTTTTGTTAAATGCTGATTCGAGTAAGAGGTCTGACTGGATTAAGTGCAAATTGTATTTTCTTGTTTACCAAACATTTTGTGTTAAGTGCTGATTGAGTAAAAAAGACCATTATATCCTTTTTTTTTGGAATAAGTATTAATTAAAAATTATTGTATTATTTAAACCTAATTATAATTAAATAAAATTTAGAAAAACAGGCCCAAGCCCAGATACATTTAAGCCCAATTATACAAATCTATATGTATTTTCACTCAAAAACCTCAAAACCCTATTTCTCTCTACAAACTTCCCTTATTTTCTCTCCCACCTCCAGACCGGCCACCGTTGCCGGCTGCCGTCGCCACCCTCCCGTAGCCGCCCTCCCATCGCCGCCCTTCCGTCGCCTCCCTCCAGTCGCCGCCCTCCCGTCGGCGCCCTCTCGTCGCCTCCCTTCCGTCGCTTTCCTCCCGTCGCCGCCCTTCCGTCGCCTTCCTCCCGTCACCGCCCTCCCGTCACCCTTCAACACCTTGAACCGGACATACACCTCCCCACCTTGAATCAAATGACCCACCTATTTGTATGAACTGTTTGTATGAAAAAAGATGGATCTATTTAGGGTTTTAGATGAAGAAGGTAGATTAAGAATACATATTTCTTACCATGGTAAGATTCATTTTTTTTGCTGACTCCAGTAAGAGGACGGTCAGAGGTCGAAAATCTGATTGTTGATTTTGTTGTTAGGTAAACACTTTTACCTCTTACCCGGGTAAGCATCTCTTAACGGGTAAGAGGTGGTAAGAGATTAGTAAACAACCCCTTAGAAAATAATTAAAACACAAATATAAATTTACACTACAATTGAAAAAAAGTGTAATATTACATAGATATTTAACTTAATAAATCGTAACCTGAAATAAAATAATAAATAATGTCCGTCCCTAGAATGGTAATGACTAATACAAAAGTGTTTGTAAGGGGGTTGAATACAAACACAATATATTTTCACTTTTTAATCATGTATGTTTACTAAAAACAAAGAATTACAGATCTATTGTGGAAGTTAGGGAGGTAAGACCATATTCTAAGCAATCTGGCTAATGAAAAATTTGCTAAAATTTGAAAGAGTAATAGAAGAAAGTACTCTTTCCAATCTAAAAAACCAAGACAGTTCTACGGATTGTTGACGTCAATTTTGCCTAAGAAACTATCACTCATAATTACTTTTAAAACGGTGAGTTGCAGCATTTGACAAGGGTGACCTTTTATTGTCACAATTGTATTAAATGTTGTTATCCAACTTTAACGTCTATCTTCATCTAATTTGCCGCCCAATGCATGCTCGTATCATTAATTTTAGCCTTTATGTTTTGACGATATGATGTAGACGTTTGTTAACACAACTCATCCTTCTATATGTAGAGGGACTAAAAACGAAGTTTGATACTAATACAATAGTACTTTAGAATGTCTGACATGCCAAAAATGTTCTTATGCCAGAACAAGAGTTGGTAGAGTGGGTGAACCAAACTTGTTGACTAAGTTTCGCTCAAAAATCGGCTCGCCAAAAGTAGTGTTTGTCAGACATCCTTTGACTTTATGTTATATTGATCTTTAACCGGCTAGATGATAATCCAATCATTTTTTGTGACAATCTTGACTTCACTTCAACTAGTCTTCGATTTTATTGAAGGCTTTTTGTTGGAAGGAAAGATCCTATTTTTGAATTTTCTCCTTGAAACATAAGTTTTATTTCGAATTCCATCTAGACTTAAGATTTATGAAGTATTGATTCAGGATCTTGTATTTTATTCAAATCTTCTTGACTTTCAGGTAATCAAGTCCTGATACAAATCCTGTTGAGTGAATCCGGATGTCTTATCCAGGTGTAAATCCGAATATGTATTTTGTTTATGCTAATTCAGATGCTACATCAGGATATCATTTTAAGTTTGTCAATATGATTTTTTTTATTTAATAGGCAAACAATAACTTCAAGAATATTTCCAAGTGTTGGATCAGATGTATTTGTGTTATTATCATTAGGGTTGTTCATCGGTTGACATCCAACAGATGTGATGAGAACTGAATCGATCCAATCATCCATTGGATGTTGGATTTTTCCAAACAATCCAATCCAATGGATGATCGGTTTGGTTCCATCTATTGGATATTCTTATTGGATATCCATTGGATCGGATTGGATACAACCAATATTAATCGGATTCCATCAGCTTAAATCCATCCGACATCCAATGGACGAGCTGATCGGATCCATCGAATGTTTTAAATTCGATTTACAATGATTAATATAATATTCCAAAATACTTAAATTTCATCCGTTCAATCACTAGTGTACTAAAGGGTAACTAAAAACATACAATTACCATTGTCAAGTCTCACCCATACATATTGGGAAGTGGAAAGTAGAAACATTAAGCTACTAAAAACTAAATAATATAAATATTGTCTGTAACCTCAAGACTGCAAGTCTATAACAACTCAATCCACTTTAATTTCTCTATCTACCAAAATTTCTACAAAATTAAAAAGTATAAATTAATATCTCATGACTAAAAACACTTATAAAATAAACGAAAATATATTTTATATATAGACACATTTATTTACCAGCTTCCAACGCTTCAACTTCTTCATTTGTCCATCAACATCATTTGATGTTGTTTGTCAGATCCAATTTTGGGTACAAATTAATGCTTGTACCGATTTAAGAGTCAAACAACTCCTATATGTATCGATAACACGGCCACTGGTAGAAAAATCTGACTCTAATGCAACGGGCAATATAGGCATAACAAATACGTCTTGTGCAATCATGGAAAGAATCTTAAACCTACTCGCGTTCT